CCTCTGGAAACAAGGGGCTCCCAGAGGCACATTCTCTCCATGGCAGAGCTCACCGGTGATAAGTCCCATGGGGTGTGGCGAATCATGTTTTAAGCCTCTGATTATGTCATAATCCACTAATATCCTATTGGCCAAGTCACATGGCCAACCCCGAATCAAGAGATGGAGATGAGTACTCTGCCCAGGTTGAGCCTGTGGCAAGCCGTGGAAGTAGACACCACCACGGGGGAGTGGACACTTGGGATCCCTGATTCGATCTGTTGCACTAGGTGGATATTAACACCCCCGTCCTCCCGAGGATCATGATCCTCCCACTTAGAAGCACTAGTTTAGTACATATCCTTCCCGTTTTTTTTTTTTAAGATTTTATTTATTTATTTGAGAGAGAGAATGAGAGAGAGAGAGAGAGCACATGGGGGGGAGGGTCAGAGGGAGAAGCAGACTCCCTGCTGAGCAGGGAGCCCGATGCGGGACTCGATCCCGGGACTCCAGGATCATGACCTGAGCCGAAGGCAGTCGCTGAACCAACTGAGCCACCCAGGCGCCCTCCACTGTTTTATATATAGAATTTTAACCAAATTTGGCTTAGATTCTATTTTTTAAATCCCTATAGAATTTTTTTTTTTTTTACCAAATGGGCTTAGATTCTATTTCTTAAATCCCCGCTTTTTTTTTCACGTAACTTTACATGCTATATTTTTCCTCATACTATTTTTGAAAATTTGTAACAGTGGCTGCAGAATTATAAAATCATTAAGTTTGGGCATTATTTATTGAGCTCTTCCTCTAAGATACTTAGGTTGTTTCCAGTTTGGTTACTATAAATAACAATGTGGTGGACATCTTTGTCTAAACGCTCTGCTGGCATCTGTAACGGGCATTTCTGGGTTTTGCACGCCCAGCATCAGGTGCCATCCCCCGCCCCCCGTGATCACAGTAGCCTGGTGTCCCTTCGGGGGAACCACATGTCCCCTTCTGTCAGCCCATGTACTTTATGCCGAATTCAGCACCGGCGCCAGAGGAAGGACTCTAGCCATAAAAGATATTCCACCTCACTTAAACTCAAAAATTTGACCCAGTCCTGGCCAATCAGAGGATGGATTTCCCCCTAGTTAGAGATTAGTTGAGGATTGGATGCATCGCCTAAGCCTGGCCAATCAGGGATTTGTTTAAAGAGAGGCACCTGACCCAAGGCGGGCCAATCAGAGTGAACCCTGGGACTTGCCCTGGTACTTACTACGAAGGGACGTTCTCTCTTTGGAGGCAGAGCCGAGGTTGTTTACCTGGAACCGGAGAATGAAGCCAAAATGTAGAAGAGCAGAGCCCAGAGACAGACACAGGATTCTGTTGACACTGAGCTCCTGATCAAGCTGTGCCTGAAGCTAGAGTCCCCGGCCTTTCAGTTTTATAAGCCAGTGCCTTCCTTTTTTTGGCTTAAGCAAAGTTGAGTTGGGCTCTCTGTCGTTTTTGAACCAAATAGCTCTGGCTTTTTTAGCTTAAATTTCTTGGCTTGGAATTACTGACCCAAAGGACACAAACATTTTTTTAAGCCCCTTGAGACCTCCAGACAAATTGCTTTCCAGAGAGTTTATGCAAACAGTATCACGGTTTAGACAGCCTATCTTACAAGCATTAGCATATTAGCTTAAATTTTCTTACGGGCAGAAATTATGTGGTTTAATCTTATTTTTAGTGAGTGAAATACATTTCATCTTTATAGGCCATTTTTATTTATTTTGCGATTTTCTGAATATGAACAATTGCCTTTTTATTTTTTTTACTTTGTGAGAGCTCTTTACATACCAAAACCATTGATCCTTTTCCAAACTTAGCACCATTTCCCCCCAGTTTATTGTCTTCAGATACGTTGATGTGTTCTGAGGTAGATGCAGTTTTAATTTTTATGTAGCCAGATTATTTTCAGGTATCACTTCTGCGGCTGTCATGCCTCCCAAATGCTTTCCGACTGAAGAGTGGGTCAACATGGACCAGATTTTCTTCTTTTTTGGCATTTACACACCCAGTATTACTCACCCTGTACTGGGAGAGCCATCCCATTGGAACTGCCCCGGAGCTTGCTAAGAATGCAGATTTCTGGGCCCCACCTCAGAACCAGCATCTCTGGGAACAGGCTCTCGGTATCGCCCTGGTTAGCAAGTGTCACGGTGGTTTTAATGAACATGGAAGTTGGAAGGCAACCACTCAAAGGAACTAGAATGTTCTACTGTGTATGGTCTAAAAAGAGGACATAATTTTATTTTCCTGCTGAATAGACAGTTTCTTCAGCACCAGCCACTTGCCAATAACCCAACTTTCCCAGAACAGTCTGTAGGAAGAATTTTCTCACACTTGGAGTTACTTTAAAGCTGGAATCTGTTGGCCGATAATGAGCCCACAGTCTCACAAGTGTCCAAGCCCTGGACCACCTGAGATCTTGGGGTCTCAGGGTCTGAACAGGCAGTCAGATGAAGTGACATTCCGTAAAGTACTTGAACCCCTGCTTTTTTCTCCAAATGCACTTGAACGCCTCTTTGCAGCTAACACGAAACCCAAGAAAAAGCACTTTAAACGTACAGCGTCGGGGCTGAGACAGCTTTCTATTTGACAAAAAAGCCAAAGGATAAACCCCGGCATTCTGGGACATGCCTGCAGCAGCATGGCCAAGCCCAGCACCCCGTCTGTCTATCTGGTGGCCCAAGCCCCTCGTGGGGGAGGCTGGGAACTCCCAAAAGACCGGGCTGCCCATTGCAAATGCAGATTGATGGCTAGGCCACTGCCACCCCAGGCATCTGTTCCTATGGGTCCTCCTCCCTGAGGAGTGTGACAAAACATCTGGAGCAGACCTACAAATGCATGACCGGTGCACAGCATGCAGATGGCAGGGGACAGGAGGACAATAGTCCCCCCCCCCCCCCCCCCCGCCTTGGGCCCTTACAGGCAAAGCCAGGAAACCAGAGAACCAGGCTCTGGGCATATAAAGGGGTGTATGTCCGGTCCCTCCTGGGAGGTTAGACAGGGTGGGGACCATCTTGCAGACCCGTCATGCGGATGGGACACTGAAGTCCAGCCAGGGGGAGCTGGTGCTCAAGGAGGAACAGAGCCAGCTTAGGCATTTAGGATTTGCCATTACTCTAAAGCAGCGGTTCCCAAAGTGTGGTCCTGGAACCTGCAGCATCTGTATCTCTTGGGAACATGTTAAGAGATCCAAATTCTAAGGCCTGTAAGACCCCAGATTGTGCCCTCAGAAGCTCCGGGAGTGGGGCCACACTCTGTGTTTTCACAAGTCTTCCCGATGACGGTTCGAATCTAAGAATCATTGGCCTGGCACATGCCCACATTACAGGGAGAGTGATGGGGTACTTTAGGTCTCTCTGGAAAGCAGATATCGTGGGGAGAGGGCGATCCGGGAAAGGTTAAGAAAGTGGGAGTCTCCCTGCAAGGCACTGAATGAGTCCTCCCACCCCAAATTCACATGGTAAAATCCTAAGCCCCAGTGTGTTAGGAGGTGAGGCCTCTGGGAGGGGATTAGGTCATGAGGGTGGAGCCCCCCATGAGTGGGGAAAGACCCCACAGAGCTCCCTCGCTCACCACTCAAAGGCACAAGAAGATGGTTGTCTATGAACAGGAAATGGACCTTCACCAGACGCTTCCAGTTTCCATAAGTGTGAGAAATAAATGTCTGTTGTTTAAGCCCCCGGTCTGAGCTTCTGTGATAGCAACTGTGATAGCAAGTGGACTAAGACACCCCTATGTGTGGCCTCTGGGTCCAAGGATAAACCCCTTAGCCTGGTCCGTGGACCCCACGACGGTCCTGCCGTCCACCTTCTCAACTGCCCATCAGGTTCTTTGCGCTCCAGCCAAACTGGAAGCCCCTCCCCTCCTGTTGCCGTTCCCTTTCTGAGCCCTCCCACGAGCCTGGTCTTCTCAAATCTGACTCAAGCCCCACCTGAGATGTCCTCTTTGCTCCAAAGGCCTCTGAGATCAGATCTTGAAACCATGGTCTGTTCCCTCCTCGGTTCCCCTTTGTTTAAGCTGCTCGTAGAGATCCGGCCACCCTCAGCCTGATTATATGTAGCTTCCTTCATTGATTCAGCCACCAAATCCTTCTCATGCTACCACCCTCCCTCCCTCAGAGCCTCCTGTCCCCTCTCTCAACAGCACCTGGAAAACAGCGACCCTTGGTGTTCGTTGACTGCATAGCAGCATCTTTTCTGAAACTCTTGAGCGTTAACTGCTGACCGCTGTTCGCAGCTTGTCAATTGTTCTTAGCTGGCAACTCTTACCCAAACCGATAAACCGATGCAGACCTCCAGAGGGTGAATTCTTTCCAGGGCTGAAGGGTTGCTAGGAGGATTTTACACCGCAACACAATAAAACCAAACCAGTGTCTTCCAGGTAGACCAAGCTCTCCCGACCCTGGCCTAAGAAGGTCAGACTCGGAGGGGACTCCCTTAGACACCCTCTTGCCCAGTCTTGCAGATAGAAAACCAGCCTAGAGAGGGGCTTTGCCTGGCCGAGGTCTCTCTGAGAGCAGCATTCATTCCAGGCAGCTCTGGGACCCTCGGGAAGGCAGCAGGCACTGACTTGGTATTCAGCTTCCGAGAACCAGTGATGAGATGCCCCCGATAGACAAGTTCAGTAGCCCCAGTCTGCCGTGCTCCCCAGTCTGCCATGCTCCCCAGTCGGCTGTGGGTGAGGCGAGCTCCCATGCATCCTATAGCTCTGGGTGGCTCTGTATGAGAGTTCTTGTGGTTCGGATGTTCCTAAAAGCTAGGCAATCTAACCAGAGCTCTTCTTAGACAAACCCACCCCTGGCTGTGAGCCTGCAGCCTCCAAGCTGGGACCTCCCACCTGACCGCTGCTTGCAACCCGGGAACCCCCCGCCTTCCCCAGTCCCAGCCTCCACTCCTGCTGATCCCCAGGACAGAGAACAGCGCCCCCCACCCCCAGGCTAGCTCCTGCTCACTTCGGGGGCACTGTGGTGAGAAAAGGAGGCTGGACAGGAAGGAAGATGGTCATGATGCTGGCAGAGTCTACATGGCCGCTGGCTGGCTCAGTTTGAGCTGGGGCACTCTGAAGTCTGGGTGCCTGGAAAGGGAGTTCTGGGGACCGAATCTTGATCCCTTGGGCGTTTCCTGAAGGATCTGGCGTATCTTCTGGGGTGCGTGAGACTATCCCCTGACCAGCATACTCTAGGTTCCATGAGCAGTGAGATATATCTCACTGTCTCCATTTTGTCCAACATAAATTCCTGGGAGGAAAAAGAAATCTCTCTCACCTGCCTGGTGCTTTGACATCCCTTCCCAAGGACCAAAGCACCAGCGGAGGTTACCTACACTTCCATTAACTCTCACAAGTGCCCTGCAAAGGAGGTGGTATCAATGACACTTGGCCAATGTGCAAACTGCAGCTCAGAGAGGTTAAGTGACTTGCCTGGAGCTGCACAGCCCAGGGGTGGCAAAGCTGGATGACAGAGTCCAAGTCCTGGTGTGGCTTGCTGAATGTGGTTGCTTGCCTCTTTTTGCTGCTTCCTCCAGGAAGCCCACCCTGACTGCCCCCAGCCTCCCTCTCTAAGAGGCATTCATTTCTCAAGGACCTTCTACCTCAGCTCTTTACCTAGCACAATGCTTAGCACATGTGGGTGACTCAATAAGTCTTGGTTGAGTGATTGTTGCAGGAGACCCCTGGCAACCCTTGACATCACCGTGTAATTTCTTCCTTTTTCTTGGGAGGAAGATGAAATTAATGCACTGTGACTATTTAGACAAATGTGCCCTTATTGAAAACAACATCATTCATATCACAATGTGAATATGAATAACATGAGTTGTGCCCCAGGGGATGCCAACAACATGAATGGTGTCCCTGGAGCCTTGCCGCGGAGCAGCCCTGATGCTGTCTGAGAGCTTGTGAGAAGTCCTTCTCAATAGAGAGGCAGGCTTGCTGACTATGGGCTGTTGCCACGGCAACCCTGGGGCAGGGACTCGCCCCTTTGGTGTTCCCGAGGAACTGAGCATCCTGTGTTTGAACGTCGCCACTGAGCCTGCCTCAAGTGAGAGCAAGTTGTGACCTAGAAGGAAGCCAGTACTGAGGATGGCTGACAGCAGAGCGTGGAAAGGATTAGTCCTGGCCAATCCAGGGAGCCTCGGGTCATACCATGCCTGAAACCCACAAGGCCATTGAGCTTCATTCAGCTCATGACGCAGACATGCCCCTTGAGAAGAGTCAAACCACCTCAAAAAAGAACGGGGTTGGAGGACTCCCAACTCCCCATTTCAAAATTTACTACAAAGCTCCAGTAACCGAGACAGTGTGGTATTGGCATAGGATCGACATCTAGACCAATGCAATAGAATTGGGGTCCAGAAATTCACCTTCACATTTGTAGGCAATGGGTTTTTGACAAGGGAGAGGAGACAATTCAAGGGGGAAAGGATGGGTTTTTTCCAAAAGATGGTATGAGGACAACTGAATATCTTTATGCAAAAGGAAGAAATTGGACCCCTATCCCATACTATATACACAAGTTAACTAAAAATGGATCATAAACCTAAATATTAGAGCAAAACTATAAGTTTCTTATTAGAAAACTTAGGTGTAAATCTTCATGACTTGGGATTATAGTTTTTGCAATGTGATGTGATGCCTAAAGACAAGTAACCAAAGGAAAAAAATAGCTCAACTGGATTTCATCAAAATTAAAAGCTCTTGTTCTTCAAAGGACACAATCAAATGAAAAGACAACCCACAGAAGGGGAGAAAATATTTGCAAACACATATATCTGATAAGGGACTTCTATCTAGAATATATCTTAGAATGCAACAATTAAAAAACCCCCAAATAATCCAATTTAAAAGTGGACAAAGGATCTGAATAGACATTTCTTCAAAGAAGAGATACAAATAGCCAATAAGCACATGAAAGATGCTCAATGTCAATAGTCACCAGGGAAACGCAGAGCGAAACCACAGTGAGATATGACTTCACACCCCCTGGGATGGCTGAATTACAAAAGACAATACCAAGTGTGGACAGGATGTGAAGAAATTGGAACCCTCACACCTTGATCATGGGATTGTGAAATCACGCAGCCACTCTGGAAAACAGTTTGGCAGTTCCTCAGAATGTTAAATATACAGTTACCATATGATTCAGCAATTCCTCTCCGTGGTAGCTAGCCAAGATAAAGGAATATTTATGTCCGTGCTAAAACCCGTATGTGCATGTTCATGGCAGGATTATTCACAACAGCCAAAAACCCCGAAACAACCCAGATGTTCATCAACTGGTCCACTGGTTCACACAGTGGAGCATTATTCAGCCCTAAAAAGGAATGAAGTAGTGATTCATACTATGACGCGGATCGACCTTGAAAACATTATGCTAAGTGAGAGAAACCAGATGCAAAATGTATCTTTTTGGGGTGAAGAAATGTTCTGGATAGTAGTGATGCTTGCCCAGTTCTGACTGAACTGAAAACACGAAGTGTATGCTTTAAGAGGGGAAATGTTATGGCATGTGAATTATAGCCTAGTAAAGGTATTATTGAAAAGAAAAAAAGACGTGCTCTGTGGTCAGTAGAAGCCAGTCTGACAACAGGTTCTCTGTACTGTAGCATCAGCATATGGCAGGTGGGGGGCTGGTCGTGGGGGGCAGTGAGAAGGGGAAGCTCAGGGGACTTAACCGAGAGTCTGAGGTTTCAACCGACGAGGCTCCCTTAGTCACTGAAATGTGTCCTCTCAGAGTGCACATGTGAGTGTAAATGCGTGACCACACCCGTGTGCATCTCCGTGTGTTTGCAGGTGCTTCTGTGTATGTTTCACGTGTATTGTTAGGTGTGTATTAAGCACATGAATGTCCATGTGAGTGTGTACACCGTGCGTGTGCACGCGTGCACGTGTGTGTGTGTGTGTGTGTGCGTGTGATGTACCAGGGTGGGGCCACAAAGACCAGGTAGGGCAGGAGTTTCTTTATACCAGCCTCTGATCCTGCCCCAAATGGGAGCTCATTACAAGTTTGTTGAGTGACTAATAGAGACCCAAGACATACTGCCCCAGGAGTCCGTGTAGCCATGGAGGGGCAGGCTCTTGGGGGCTAAAATGTGAATGCACCATGAGCTGAGGCTCAGGAGAGGCTGAGGCTGGAGACCAGCCTGGGGTGGCAGGGACGCCTCACCTGAATCAGGTCGAGTTTAGAGAAGAGGCCCATCCTCTTGGGCGTGCTGTGGGCAGAGGGGGAGCACTGCTGGACCATGTGGTTGATGGCCTTTTGCAGGTAGTCGAGCAGCTGGTTCTGCAAGAGGAAGAGGAGCAAGAGGAGGAGGAAGAGGTTCTGGTCCCCTCCCAGCATCGCCCTGCCCCCTCTCCCCAGCTCACTCAGGCCAGCGAAGCCACCTTCTCATCCTGCTCTGTGCTCCAATCCCAGAGGGCCTTGCTTGAGTCCCTCCCACCCCAGGGCCTGAGCATCCTCCCCTGCCATGAGGGACACTGAACTAACTTCCCAGAGGGTCCTCCTAGCTGGAGACACCTGTGGCCCACACCTGGGGCAGGGCCTGGGAAGGGTCATGGAGGAACCTGGAGCTCCTCACTCTGGGCAGCGCTGGAGTCCCAGACTTCAGGTCTTCAGGGCTGTGGCCAGCAGTGGCAGCCTTGCTTCCCATCTTGAAGAGAAAGATCCAGAAGGGGCTCTATAAACAGTGGCCAATCCACTCCCTCTCTAAACCCCTTGGCTGGAGGTCAGCAACATGTAGATCCCTAGCCTCATGTCTTCCAAATTAGGATTGCATGGGGACTGAGAAGTCCCTGCCTTTGCTGACCACACTCTGTCCAGGTGGAGTGTGCCCCAGGCCTTGGTCCTGGTGTCCTCCCAGCAGCCCCTACGGCTGGGAGGGCACGGGCTCTGGTTTTAGTGAGGACCCAGGGGCCAGAGGGTAACCAGTCCCCATTCCAAAGGCCAGGAAGGAACAGCTCGAGAGCTTAAGCCCAGAAATCCTGGCCCCTGGTCATGGACTTTGGCCATGACTTATTCTTTCTGAATACTATTTTTCTCGTCTGTGAAATAGATACGGGTAGGAATCCACCAACATTTAGAAGTACCTGTCCTGGGTTAGGGGCTAAGCACTGCCTGTGATGGTCACAGAGATGTATGAATTACTGCAGATAGTGCATAATAACTCACTTAAGTGCCATTGTTCTGTTATTAACCACAAGCATTACAGAAGGACTGGGTAAGCACCCAGCTATGCCAAGCCCTGGGACGGGACTGGGGATCCCAGCTGTGGTTCTTGGCAGAGCTTGTCTCTTGCCCCTCTGTGGCCTCAGTTTTCCCATCTGTAAAGTAGTTTCTGCCCCATCTTTGGGAAGCCCTTTGGAAGCAGACAGTCACCAACCAGGGCGAGGTAAGTGGGGCGTGTGTGTGAGTGTGTGTGGGGGTGATGCTTATTGAGGAGATGGCAGCCCCCCAGCCCTGCCTCCACCCCACCCCCATCCCACAGATCGGACTCACATGAGAGCCGTCCATGTCCTTCTGGGAGGTGACACGGTGTCCCAACTGCCCCCACCGCTTCTGCTCATGATGACATCGCTTTTGCAGCTGACACAGCCGAATCTTGAGGCTCTGCGATGGGAGAGGCTGCATCACCTGGGTGCAGCGAAGTCTGCTGGGGCATCTGCTCTGGGCCTGGTCCCAAGGAGCTCACTGCCCCGGGGATGGGGAGGGGGGGCCTGTGCCATGATGGGGGTGAGCGGAGGGGAAAGGTCTGGGTCTTCTAGCTGTTCAAGGCACCAGGAAAGGCCTGAAAGGGCATGTCCAGGCTGACTGGGGTTGAATGTTGGCTCATTGCCCCCAGAGCCCCTTTTCCTCCTGTAACCAGAGCCAAGAGTCTGTGCCCTTGTGGACGGCCTCCCGTGGCCTAGCCTGCTCCGCACAGGGCTGTGCGGGCCGCGCCCCACCGCGAGGCCCCATGGGGTGTGAGTTTGGACACGGGACATACACAGGTGTCCTCACTTTTCTGCGTCTTAGTCTCCTCCCCTGGAAAGTGGGAAGAAGAGCGCAGCTGGGTCTAAGGTGAGAAATTTAAGATGGGGTGGCAAAACTCAGCGTATGCTTAAAATGAAGATAAATTAAGATAAATAATATCTTAATCCAATGTTTTTAAAAAAAATCAAAGTTAATACAAAGCATCCATGATGGACAAAATATTAAAATTTTAAATAAAGATGGGATCCAACCAGCACTTGAATGCTCACCTCACTCACCTCCCTTGTCTCAGGCCTAGGAATTAAAGCACTTAGCCAGGTACTGGGGTGAGATTTAAATAAGATAAAGTAGGTAAACTGTGTCTCTCCCTGTCCTGCCCAATCATAGAGAGTCTGGCTCTCCAGAGGGAAAAAGGTGCAAAGTCATGTAGGTTTTCAGTGCGGCCACCAGGGGGCAGAGACTCGCTGCAAATATCACGCCCTGATCCTTTGCAAGAATCAACCCATCCTCAGACTTCCTCTCCTTGTCCCCTTCCCCTTCTTGGTCCCAGGCCCCAGCTGCAGCATGCAAATTCATCCTGCCATGCCTTTGCCTGGGCACTTTCTCCTGGCTGGAATGTCCGGCCCTCCTGGCAAAAGTTCTATTTATTATAAGATTAACCAAAAAGGAAAGAGTGGTGACTTCTTGGGGCACGTCACTTTGGCACCGTTCCGTGTCTCATGACAACCTATGAGCTAGGTTGCATTGCCATTTGACAGAGAAACTGAGGCTCAGAGAGGGGTCACCCTTGCCCAGGGTCACGCAGCTAGTCAGAGAGTGAAGTGCAATTGGAACCCGGTCTGTTTGAATCTAGAACTCGTGGCTTTTCTACCACCAAGAACACCTTTTGAGCATAAGCATAAGTTTCAGGAGAAACCCCAAGTCAATCAGCAGACAGGGAGAGAAGGGGATACAGAACAAGGCTCTGGAGTGACAGGCCCACCCAGACCCTCTCTGCAGCCCACCGCTGCTTCGAGCCTTCCCCCCATTGAGGTGCAGAGGGAAGGGGGGGCCTCTCTGTCCCCAGTCCTATGGGCTAAGGGCAATGGACGAGGCTGCAGATAGCTGTTACCGGGATAAGAGCCCTGTGGCTCTCCTCTAGAGACTCCAGCCTCTGGTGGAAGACCTGGTTCATCTCGGAGAAGGCCTCCAGATGCTTCTGGATGTCCTGGCTGATTGTGAAGAGCTGCCCATAGTGCTCCACCATGGTCTCCACCAGGACCACCTCTGGCTCCTCTGTTTTCTCCCCTTCATTGTGGCCTAGGGAGACAGTGCCATGGCGGAGTGGGTGGGCACAGAGAGCCCAGCCCTCACCTGCCCCTGCAGGGGTGATGCCAACGATGTGGATGGGACTTCTGCCGCAGCTCTGCAATTCCAGCTGCAGGCCCACAGCTGAGAGGCGCCAGCCAACCCATGCGGGGCTTAGCCCAGGACAGCAGGTGCCCAGCCCCCTCACCCACCACCAGCCTCTTCAATTAACATTTGAAATGTCCCCTAGCAGCTGAGAACCCAGATTCTGGAGCCAGGAGGCCCAGTGAGACAGCAGCAGAGAGTCCCCAAGGACCCGGAGCCTTCACCCCTCCTTGGCTTGGTGCTCAAAGCTTTTTGGTGCTGCTCAACCTTCCAGTCACCATCTCCCAGCAACCCCTGCCATGTCCTGGTGCTCCAGCCCACTGGAACTCAATATCCCCAAATTCACCATGCAGGGCTCTGGCTCCAGCCTACGTTGGTGCTGTTCGCTCTGCCTGCAATGCCGTTCCCCTTTGCTGGCCTCATTTGAGCCCCATGAGAGGCCACCTCTTCTGTGAAGCCTTCCCTGACATCCAGGACAGTTTGGGGGGTTCTCATCGCTCCACAGCATTTAGTGCAGCGGCTCTGAAGTCAGACCAGAGTCTGAGACCCAGGCCTACCACTTCCTGGCTGGGCATTTTGGGCAAGTTCCTTAACCTCTCTGAGCCTGGGTAACACAATTCTCAGAAACTCATAGAAAGGGGTACAAAAGATTTTCTAAAGAGGTTAGCACAAAGTTAGTTAATAGTCGTTAATAAATGGTAACTTAATAAATGGTAATAGTTATTCTTATTATTGATGACGTTGAGATAATGATGATAAAAATTCACGTTTGACCCCCCCTTCCCTTTCCTAACAAGCTTCTGGCACTGACAAGAGCGGGCTCCGGTTCTCATCAGGATAAAACAAAACACAAAGCCCATTTCTGGTGTCTGTGTAATTTTGGCTGATCATCGCAAAACAAAAAACCAAAACCAAAGACACACAAAATAATGGCAATCATAGCTAACATGTACTGGGTGTTCGCTGAAAGCCGGGCACTGCGCTACAGGCTCATGAAGGATCAGTTCAACCGATCTACATAACCAGTGCTGTTCCCCTTGTACAGATCAGACACCAGCCCCTCGAGAACTTGCCTCCGGCCACACTAGCAGACTCACGGGGCAGGCTCGCGTGGCCCCTGTGCCCTTTCTCTCCACTGTGGCATCGGCCTTTGTGGGTCCTCATTCTGCCGATGAGGTCAGGGCTCACACCGCGCCCTAGTCCCAAGGCTGGGAGGTGGCGGTGGAGACGAAGCGGCATACATACCCTTAGGGATTATCTCAAGGACCTTAATCAGATAGTCTTCAAAAAGCTTGTGCTTCTCGACCTCTCTCTTCAGCTTCCTCTGCCTGCAGAGACATTTCAGTGACAGCAAGACGTGGTTTGGAGGACCCCAGGCCATGACCTCTTGCAAGGCCACTCTCCATGGATCTCCGGCTCAGACCTGCACTGGGTGTGCGCGCCACCCCCACCCCCATCAGCGGGCTGCTGACTTAAGCCTCTCCACCCCATTTCCTGCTGAGCAAACTGAGCCACAAACAGTTCAAAGAGCTGCCATGGTCAGGCGTGAGGAAGGAGCACCAGGGAGAGGGGAGTCCAGTCCTTCTGGTGTGGGGTGGGTGGGGGGGTCTATGGAGCCTCCCTTAGAGGCTGGCCTGAGCACCCCCGCCCCCGCCCGCCAACCAGCTGGTGACCCGGCTAGGTGCTTCACCTCTGTGCTTGGCCAGCCCATCTGTAGCGACAGTAACCAGACCCCCTCCCTCACAGGCTGGCCGGGATCATGCGTGGGGCGCCCAGCACATAGCGAGCACTCAGTCTGGGGTTGGGGACCCCAGCACCCCCGGGAGGGGAGACAACCACGTGCTGCTGCCCAGCCATGCTTGACTCTTAGGTGAGCCCTGAGCAAGCAGAGTCTCCAGTCGGTCGCCTGCTCTGTGCCCAGTCAAGGTCAGCAGTCAAGGGCAGAGGCAGAGTGAGACCCGCCCCGGTCAGCAAGACTGTGGTGGGCTCTGTGAGTGACTGCTCAGGGACCCAGGGCAGGCCTCTCTGCCTCTCAGGCCCCGCTTCTCATCCATAAGGTCCTGAAAAATGCAGGGAAAAACCATCTTTCCCCACAAATACCGTGTGGACCCTGCGTACCATGGCACCAAACCTTAGTGGGGTCAGGAAGCCCGAATAGAATCTGATGGAAGGGTTGGACCTTTTCTCCACAAAGTTGCTCACAGACACATCCTTTTGCATCTGATTCAGGCTTTTATGGGCAGCCTGAAACTGACGGGCTGCCCGGAGGGTGAGGACCCAGGTCTCCACTCCGAGGCGGGGGGAGGGGGGACAGCCTCGCAGGTTGACTTTAGAGGGGCTGAGCTGACAGGTGCAGGGGATGGCCACCCCAGCCCTGCCTCCAGGATGGGAGACTAAGCCCACGGAGGGCCTGGGAGGACCCAAGGTCTGAACTCGGGGAGCTGGAGCCAAGCCCCCCACCCCCTCCCCACAGGCTGCCCCTCCTGTTTACTTCCAGGGGTTGCCCCCCTCCTTGTCCCTTCCCTGCTTGGCCCTCAGGGACGTTTGCTCAGTCCCAGCCACCTAGTCCAGTGAGGACGCCACTGGGCCTGGGGCAGGGGCACAGTTGAGCCTGGGACCTCGCGTACTTTGCCTGGAGCTCGCAGAGTTCCTGTAACAGCACCTGCAGGTCTCTGTCCTTGTCGCTGCTAACGCTCCAGCCAGCCCCCTGGCTGGCGTCCATGGCCACCAGCATCACCCCTCGCCACCCCAGCTGCGCGGGAGGACGAGGGCCACTTGGGCCAGGCGGGAAAACTGGTCAGCACTTTCCCGACTTTCCCAACAGCCTCCGGAAAGCAGGTCACGTTCCCAGTTCGTGGAAAAGGAAACAGAGGCTCAGAGGGGGGCCTGTGACCAGCTCAGGGACACACAGCAGGACTGGATCTGGACTTGAGGCTCACTGAAGCCAATGTCTGGGGTCTTCCAACAGGTGCTGGTTTCTCACAGCATTCAGGAGATAGCCCCAGAGTCAGGGCTGGGGGCTGGCTCAGAAAGCAGTGTGCATGGGGCGGGGACACCTTGGTGGCCTATCCTACCCACCAGCCCTGCACCACCCATTTATGCATTCAGTGACATCACATACTCTGAGCGTGTAGAGAGCTCATCAAAGGAGCATGGAGCCCGAGGCAGACACTTTGAATGAGCTCATGGTCAGGCTGGGAAGGTGGCCTAGTTAACAGGTAGTTTCCACACGGCCTGGCAAAGAGCTCCTGGACCATTTGCCTAAGTCTGGTTCCCGGTTATGGCCCAAAGGAGAAGAAAGTCTCCCTAAACCTGCCATTCATTGGCCATCTGCTGGGCCAGCCACAGCACAGGGGCGGAGCAGGGAGAGAAGGGGAGAGGTTGCATGGTCAGTGTCCCCAGCCCTGAGCATTCAGACACTGGACATGAGCATAGGGAAGGAGGAGGGGGCCCAGCTGACTCATTCACGGCTCCCGGAGCTCAAAGCCACCGCCGCCGGGCTGTGACATCATAATGCTGGCCTCTGTCCTATGATGTGTCCATTACAGGACCCACCTGTGAGTGGAGGGCCACCTTCTCCGTGGCCTACCCCTGCCTCCCTGGTTCAGTTCCCAAGGACAAGGGGGAGAGGCATCGGTGACCCCGGGGGGGGTGGTGTCTCAATTTTTTGTCCTTTCTCTCAGGCTGGTCAACTATAGGCAAGGTAGAGGTCATTCTTTTTTTTTTTTAAAGATTTTTATTTATTTGTTTGACAGAGAGAGACACAGAGAGGGAACACAAGCAGGGGGGGTGGGGAGGGAGAAGCAGGCTTCCTGCGGAGCAGGGAGCACGATGCGGGGCTCGATCCCAGGACCCTGGGATCATGACCTGAACCGAAGGCAGACGCTTAACGACGGAGCCACCCAGGCGCCCCAGTAGAGGTCATTCTTAAGGCCCCCACTTTGTGGGCTCCCGAGACCCCGCTGGCCTGTCCCAGGACTCTCCCTTTTACCTCCTTCTACCTGATTGTGGATGGTTGTAGCTCGAGCCCTTCCCCAGCGAGGGCGCTCAACAACCCAATAAAGCTCAGCTCTGCCTGTGGCTCAGAACCACACCTGGCCCAGGGCAGGGGAGGGGGCAAGGTGAAGGAGGCTTCAGGTCCGCAACCTGGGACCTGCCCCTGCCTTCTGGCGTGGCCCTGGTACCTGCTGTTGGAGCTGCTGGGCCTGTGGCATTTGGGGGAGCTGGGCCCGGTGCCCATCCCTGTTACCCCAACTAGCTGTCCAGGCCTTCCCCAACAAAGGCCCCCGTTCAGTCAGAGCCCCTGGGCAGGGGCAGGGATTGGGGCCTATGCCAGGACACACACATCAGCAGGCCATGGAGTCAGTCCCTGCCTGCCCAGGAGTCCCTGAGTAGGTCTCAAGGGAGCTGTCTCTGTCTGCCCTCCATGGTTCTAGAGCCTCTCAAACATCTGATGAGCACCAACTGAGACAGGAAGGTTCTGGCCTTGGGTTCATGCATTGGGAATACTGGTACACACAGATGTCTGCGGTTCAGGGTTGCGCAGAGAGTCAGAACTGGCCTGGGGGCATGCCGGGAGGGTGGGAGGAGGGCTGGAAGAAGTCCCCGGCAGAGCTGGCAAAGTCTGAGGTGGTTCCTGAGGATCAGAAGGAGCCAGGAAGTAAGGTGGGAAGCATATTCCCGGCGGAAGAAACAGCTGGGACCAAGGTTCAGAGGCACAAAATAGCATCCGTGGCCTGTGGGAGCTATAGGCAGATACTTGGAGGTGAAGGTCAGGGAGGGGGTGGTGTGGCTGCCCTGGAGAAGCCATCAGCAGGGACCAGGGTGTATGGGCCGGGCTCTCCCGTTGCCTGCAACAGAAACTAACAGGCTGCTCTGGGCAACAACAGCATCCGTGGAAGGTAGGAGGGAGGCCACAGAATCAGAAGAGCTAAAGACCCAGGCCTGGGGAACCCAAGGGCTCAGGGCAGCCCTGGAGATCCAGGCAGCAGGAACTCAGAGGGATACCTCTCCAAATGAACCCTCCCCTACACCTTGCCATCAGCCCCTCCATCCCCAAGAATCCAGGTCCTTAGAGAAGTCACCCAATTGGCTGAGACTGGTCATGTGCCTGCCCCTTTGCTTAGACTGACAGTCACATCATAGGCGCTGCTTTGGGGGCTGGAAGTTTCCCAGAGCAAATCCCAGGCCCTTTGGCTGGAGGCTGGGCAATGGAGGCTGAGCAGGTGCTCCGCACACGGAGGCTCAGGGAAGCCCAGGGAGCTTGGGCTTTATCCTGAAGACAACAAGCCGCTTGGAGGGTCCCAGCTGAAGGAGTGGCCTGGTCAGACTGGCATTTTGGAGTGTGCCCTCGGGCTCAGAGTGGAGGTGAGCCGAACATTTGTCAGGACACTTCTAATGTCATGTGGCATGCCACGAGGTCAGAGCTGTTCTTTCAGAGTGGGGAAACTGAGGCCCAGAGAGAAACTTGCCCAAGTCCTCGCTGTTGGGAAATTCCTGAGCTGAGCTGTTAATCTAGAAAGTCCAGGAGGTTGGGTTGCTGGAACTTGGATACTGATCCAGTGGGGATCCCACAAGCCAGGACGTACGGTGAGGGGGGCTGCTCCCGGAAAGACCCCATTAGTGCCTCTGGGCGTTGCACCTTCACCCGTCAAGGGCAGACGCCTGCCCCTCCCCCCGGCCCTAAGCAGATGCAGGAACAGCCTGGCCAGACCTCCTCTCTCCCCGGGGCTCAAAAACCCTAGGACCGCATCTCCCTCTCGTTTAGGGCCCTAGGCCACTGGACCCAGTAGGGCCACAGGCCGCAGGGGGGTGTGGGGAAGGTGGGACAATTTACTTCCCAGTAAGGATTTTATTTTTGGCCTCAAGTGTCGTGCACCCACACAAGGCTGGGAGACAGACTGCGGCGGCTCTGGGAATATTTCTCCCTACCAGCCCCTAAAGAGCTATTCTGCCATGATTACCGGGGATTGACAGCTATTTTGGATCTACTGCTGCCTGGCACTTTGCCTGGAGTCTCTCATTTACTTCTCAAAAAGCTCCTCCAAGGTCGTGGAAGCATGGCTCCATTTTGCAGAGGAGAACAATGAGGGTCTATGGGGCAAAGGAACTTGCCAAGGCTCCTGGCTAATAACTGGTAGCAGGATGGGCTCCATAATTCGTGGAGCCTAGTGTGACCTGAAAGTGATGGGCTCCTGATTTAAAAAATTAAGAATTTCAAGACAGCAGTGGTGGGACACAAAACCAGTTATGGGCTGTTCTGAGCGGGGGCCGAGTGCATAGCTGCTCCGCAGGGATTTGACCTCATGTCTAGGGATTCCAGAACCTATTAGTTAACTCTACCCCTGTTCCTTTCCAAACTCCACCCCCTAGTCTGCCTCAGAGCCTCTGCTGGGCTCTGGATCTTCCTCTTCTCCCCCCAACCCTACCCTCACCCAGCAGGCTGTAGACCCCACCCTTTCCTGATTAGGGGAAGACTGCCAGGAACTTTAGACCACAAAAGAAGATCCAGGTGGAGAAAGGCAGAGGGATGCACCTGGTGAGGGGCCAGGTCTCAGACCCCCCAGATCTCCTCTCTCCCCTGGACTGTGGGGGAGGTAAATCCAAGACAAGGCTGTCTGTTCCAGAAAGCTGGGAAACTTGAGGCCTGGGGGTATGCTTCAAGGGCAGAGACACAATTAAATGGCAATAGAACCCCATTTTTTTAAGCCTTAACAAGGACTCCCGGGGCTGGAATTTGACCCCAGGGCTTGCTTCTGCCAGTGCAGCAAAGGGATGGCCAGATCAGGCCTTCGGCCCAGAATTCCAACCCTGCCTGCCCTGCAGCCCCAAATGTCCCCAAGAGGGACAAGACCAGCCCTTAGCCAGCCATAGGTGATGCTCAGGATGCAGAGTGAGGCTGTGCAGCCAAGCAAGGCTACCACCTGTGTGACCTTAGGAAACGTACATAACCTCTCTGAGCCTCAGAAACTAACAGGCTCCTGGGCGGCTCAGTCGGTTGCGCATCTGACTCTTGATTTCAGCTCAGGTCGTGATCTCAGGGTCCTGAGATCGAGCCTCATGTCAGGCTCCGCACTCAGCACGGAACCTGCTTGAGATTCTCTCTCTCCGTCTCCCTCTGTCCCTCCCGCACCCCCGTGTCATGCACTTACTCTCTCTCTCTCAAAATAAATAAATAAAATCTTTTTAAAAAAGTAAATAAATGTAAAGTGGAGATAATTACAGTACCTAGAATGAAATGACATAATCTACATAGAATGCTTAGCTTCATCTCATTCTTGTAAAAAAAAAAATGCGGTACGTGTGTGTCTGTGTGCGTGCGTGCATAGAAGAAAGTCTAGAAGGCTGTGAATGAAATTTGTAGGCCTTAATTTAGGGGCAGGAGATGAGGGCAAACTTTTCTACCCCCGTAACTCTGAGAACAGCAAGCGCCTGGCACATAGGTGTTCAATCAGCCTTAGTCTTGATTCCTGGCCCTCCCCCGTCACTCCCTCCGGGTTACAGTGGTGGTGACCCCCTAGCACAGGACCCTTGTTAAGAGCCTCGCTGCTGGGGTTGGCTGGCAAAGTGACTTCAGGGAAGGGGCACAGTGTGTGTGAAGCCTGGGTGTGGCTGTAAGCAGGGGTGGGGCGTGGGCGCAAGGAAGACAAGCATGGTCTAGTAATTCTGCCTGAATTTTGCCAAGACCCGGCACTGCTTAGCGTCCCACCCTCTTACTGAACTAGGATCTCAGAGCTCTGTTCGTAGCCCCTGCCTCCCACCCGAGGGACTGAGAAGGCAGAGAACCAGAGTCGCCCAGGGCCCAGGAAGCAGTTCGATGATGGCTCTTCCTCTGAGACCCCCAGCCCGGCTTCCGCCCTTCTCCCTGCCCTGCACCCAGGCAGGGTTCAAGTCCCAGAGCAGGGGAATTACCCCAGCAGGTCCTGAGATGCTCTGAGACCATCTCTGGGG